GACGGTGTGTACCCAGATAACTCGACCGAGAGCTTGTGACGACAGGATGATATTGGCCCAGAACTTACGGCCTTCAGCGTACCTCTCGTACGCAGTCGAGCTGCGGAATGAGAGACCGAGACTAATCACGAAACCAGTGATGGTGAGGAGGACATTGCTCACGCCGAGAACACCCAGCTTCCGGTTGAGAACCGTGATCAGGGTCGCCCATGCTCCAACAATAAGCAATGGCACGATTAACTTGGGGACAATGCTACCGTGCATTCGCATGAGAAGGGGCCATTTCGAATGCTTGGCCATGTCTCGAGGGCCAGTAAAGTAGTCATCGAGATCCAGGGACGTTCGCTTGTTGAAGAAATGCTGGGCGGATGAGAGCCGAGGAGACACCGGTTCGGGACCACCCTCTTTGCGAGTGTAGCTTGAGGCTTCGTCCGTTTTGATTTTCATTGTGCTAGCAGGCGTAGCAGTATCGGCACTTGAGGCCGAATGGGCGATGCCGTCCGCCATTATGAAGGTTGGGATATCCGGGGGTGTGGGGAGGAGTGATTAGGTAGGAAAGCAGGGCCTTGGTAGATGGGATATAGCAATCGGATCAACGATGCTAAACGAGTGTAGATATAGGCGAATATGCTATGTTGTATAGGTATGCCTTAATAAAGGGATACGTAATTAGATATAGGACACAGTCCTAGTAGATCAGATGTTTAACGAGTGGTATGAGGGACAAGAATGAGAATGTTGGGAGAGATGGGATGAAGTGGATTATAAAAAGAAGAGGAAACGGGACGGAAAGGAAGCAGTCAACCCGGGCAGGGGACGAATGGATACCTTCGATGTCAAGGAAGCCATTCTCACTTGTTGACCGATGCATGCCCGGCTCTGCTTCCACCCCACAGCTTCATGCCATTATGCACGTACAGGTCCTACTTTTCCCACCTCTTGACTCCTTGAAGCTCAGGGATAACCTTTCACCCAGCAGCGGACGTTGAAAAGGCGCGGCACGCCACGGCCCAAGTTTCAGAATTAGACCAGGGGGTCTGCAGAGTCCGAACCAATGAACGGGTGCCAGGAACCACGGAACCGCTCAACTTGTCAACGGATTGGGTAAACAGCGATTCATAATCAAATTAGAGCTCTGTTCTCTGGTGGGTGACACTTGGCATCGCACTAGACAAGACCGGAAGATTCATGATCGGACTCCCACATGCCAACCGAAAATGAGGCGCGCGCTTCTCGTTCTCCTGGAACCTGCAGTAAGCTGCCACCCCAATTGACGTGTCAGCCCTCGAGTACCTGCAGGCCCCTGACTCTGTTTAGGCATTCGGACGCTTGTTTTCGTTTTGGGATACCCATCCGTTTATTCTCCTTCCAGAGCGAGCAGCCGATGTCCCGGACTTGCCGCCACTCAGGTGGAAATAAGGTAATACAGCGCAGGTACGTGGAGTTCACGCTGACTGGCTCCCGCCTCTGATTTCTGTCAACGGTGACCCCAGTGGAGGACCTTGTTCCTTATTAATGTCCCTGCTAGTCCGTCGTAGGGAACATAGAGGCTCGTATCGCCAATTACACGGATCGGTGATGTGCCTAGGCGAGATGCGTCCAGAACAGTAGGGGCAGTGCAAACCTCCCATGTCCGCGGGCATCGGGGAAAGAAAGGAGCATCAAAGAAAAATTATGCTAGGCAAGTAGCCCAAAGCAGCATCCCACAGCACCTAGAACGGGACACGCACGCACACACGCACGCACACCTCCTGTTCGAGAAAACTCAAACACCACATGCGTCTGTCCGGTTCGTTTCAGATGGAGGTGACATGAACCACGGACGGAGTTTCCCTCCCACACACCGAAGTAGCTGCCGCCCAGTGGCTGAAAATAGCGTGTGGGCACCGTAGCAGGCGGCCTCTCAGGCTCCACCTGCCCCCTAACCCTCCATAGCCCTCCACCTGGGGGCTCCATCTGCGAAATTTACAGTGGGCTATAGCATTAAAGCCACTGTGCTCACTGACTCAGGCGCCAGGGCATCCAGTCCTCAGCGCTACCTGTACATTAGTGAATCAAGATGCCATCCAATGCAATTGAAACTTAATACAGCGCTGAGCTTCCTTATAGAATTGTTGATGAAAAAAGAGGTGGTTCACTCCGATATCTCTGGAATCAACACTCCATTTGCTATTAATGTCACATTTTATACTAATGGCACAGCGTCAGGCACAGTACCTGGATCGCCTCTTCCAGGTGGTTGCATAAAAGTCTGTCTCAGGGGCCATCATCGGCTTCGGGATACAAGCTTTTTCGAGCTCCGGGGCCCCCGGCCAAGACCCCGTCTCTAAACAAGCTCGCCACATCCCGACTATAATGGCCTGGTAGACCATTGTCTCGTATTTTCTACTTATGGTATGTACAATGGTCCAATAAATGAATGGGCAAGAAGCGAATAATAAGACACAATACACCAAAACGTCGCACTCAGCCTCCGGTATGCATACTAACTACATGTATGCAGGAGCTTGCGGGCTCGATACATATCCTTGAGCGGCAATAATAACCCATGTGAAAAAGGCAGTGGCCTGACAAGCCTGTTTTACTAGTAAGTTTCTCTTTCCCTCCTTGTAGTTGACAAAATCGGAGGGTTGGGTGGAAAAGGAGAAGTCTGGTGTGACGGTTTAAAGTTGGTGTATGCATCAAGAGCCACTCCTCGGATGTAACAGTCCAAGACATCGCCACAAAGATGTGTGAGTTGCTGCGTCCCTACTTCCAATTAGCCATCCCTACTACCCTAGGATTGGCCTTTTGATTTCCTCTCTGTCCTCGATGTACGCTCTTTCGCACCTAAAGGGGGATTCGTACAGGTAGCCTGAAAATATCCAATTCTTGCATTCGAAAATTGTCTGCGGGTAGAATACAGAAACAGCCAGTGCTTTGCCTCTTGTTCCCTCTAATCGAATGTTTGTCCCTTGAAGCCAGGCAATATTACCTGTCCCTCAGTGTCCTTGTACGACCTACCCTTCGTCTGCTGCCAGGTCTGCTTGAGGGTAGTAAACTCTCCCATTGTGGGTACTTTGTGACCATCCCTCTCAAACTCGTTCTGTGTATACCCTTCACGCTTGAGGACCGGCGAGTCGACTGTGCTGAGGACTAAGTCATTCTGAGGGCGCGCGAAGTAGAGGAGGCCGAGACGGTCCACGTGGCGCTGGTCTTTGGGTGGCAGCGAGACCTACGAAGATTGTCAGTTTCCAATCCGAGATTGAAATGCACGAGCGTTGCTTTGTTTTTCTGCACTTACTCTATGGATGGTGGACTTGATGTATCCACCAGTCAGAAAGCTGAGAGCGTCGCAGGTGTTGACCGTCAAGCTGCCATCCAGGGGCTTCGCCCACTTCCACTCCCCGGTAGCATGATCCTTGATTTGGAGCGCGGCGACGGGTTGGCGGAACAGGAGGGTGATTGAGCCCAGGTCAGTGTGTCCGCGCGACCACAGGCCGTCTTCCAGCTTCTCGACTTCCTCGGGCGAGAACTTGCTGTACTTCATGTAACGGAGGTGCGACTCGTCATGGGTCTCCCACTTGTGGACCTTGGTGAAGAAATCCTCGGGAAGCTCCAGAGCAATGGCGATCAGGTGGTTGAGGGGGTCCAAGATCTTGTCGTGCAGGTCCTTGGCGAAGCCGTCAATCTCCTCAAGGCGCTCCTCAAGCAGTTTGGGTACGGGCTGGGTGATGTGCCCGGCTCTCGCTGTCAAAGTGTCAGCTCAGCCTACAATAGTCATCATGTGTCAAGCCACTTAGACGCCCACGTACTCGCCATGTTCCAGACTTCAGTCTTGTCCCTGAGCCCGCCGCTCAAGAAACGGCGACCCGCCGGGCGGTAGCCATTGTAATCCCCAGAGTCCAGGTCGGGTACATACTTGAGCTTCTCCTCGAGGGGCAGCTCGTAGAACTTTTGCCCAAGCGCGAATTGCCTGTCAACAGCGTCTTGGCTAATGCCGTAGTTGATCACATAGAAGAATCCCTTGGTGCGGATGGCCTCTAGGAGAGTATCTGCTAATTCGCGATTACCCTCAGGGGTACCATACTTGGCAAGATCAATCGTTGGTACTATAGAAGTCTTAGTTTGATTGAACTCTCCGATAAAATACGTTACATTCTCACATTCAGCCCAGTCCAGATCCTCTTTTGTCTCGGGGACATGGGTGTATTGGTAAAGCTGCGGCACTGCTGACGGCATGGTGATTACTATCTGTGAGGCTATCCTGTTGGAAATAGCTAACAACTTTTTGAAGATGAAGGTGAAGTAGATTGGTTCACTAATCCTACAACAAGGCCGCACGCGCTTCTTTTATTGCTCAACTCCAGACGTCCCATCCTGTATCGGAGACCCAATACCACCACATCCAACACTATTGGGAGACTGATTAGAAATACGACCTTGATTCGCAATTCCCATTGATTTTAGCTTGTTATCTCCTTATGCTGCGGGGGAGTGAAGCCCAAGTGGGTGTCGTCGTTGGCCAGGAAGAGTGCTCCGGATGTCGTCATTTGAACACCGATTGCGCAACGGCATGATCGTCCTTCGCCGCCAATGAAGTGGAGGATGCCCGGGCCGTTGCCGACGAGTTCAATGACCGATTTCGGATCCTCCTCCGCATTGTTCTATGATGTCTCTGGGGCATGCGGATGAAGGTCACTGCCGGTTTGAAGCAGTTAGCCTGGAGGTGACCCCGAGCAGCCAGAGACGCTCTCAATAATCGAGGATCTTAATTGCTGAGCACATTTTCTGCGGTTAAAACGGCGATCATGGGGGGATGCTCATGCGGGGTCTTGGGCTGATGACACGGAGATTGTTGTCCCCGAATTCACAGCTACTGACTTCAAATGTCTTTATATCAAGAAAGTGTAGTCTCTAGTTTATATTTACTGGCTGACCTGACTAGATCTACCTATATGATAGCCTGTTCACTTGAAAAGCCATGATTCTTTGCTCTGATCCTCCAGCCCATCTCAAATCTACGATTCCGGGTATACCTCGATGCTCTCTCGTGTATCCAGTGTATTCAACCTCTCATCTGCGTAGCAAAGCGCCCAGTCTTTGAATTGGTCAATGTCAAATTCTTGTACCCATCCTTTCTTCTGAAGCTCTTGCACAGCACATATAGCCCACGTCACACAATTCTGCTGTGGGTGCGTATTCTTGACAGGCAGAGGAATTGTTTCGAATAGATCTTTGAGATCCGCCCTCGAAACCTCATCCGATACGGATCCAATGACAATGCGCCCAAGAGTCTTGGGATTGTGATCGAGACCGACATCTGGCCTAACGCGAAAATACCAATCCATGGTAGGATTGATCATTCGCCAAGTCTTTTGATCAATCTCGGATGAATCAGTGGCATCATATTCGTCGCAATCGTTGCCATGGGTTGTCTCAGGAATAACAGTGATAGCCCAGTGAAAAGCACTATGGCCGAGAGTCTCGCGCGAGTGCCCGCGGGAGAAGTAATCTCGGTGACACAAAGCCAAGGCAATTTTTCGACGCATAATTGATTATCGCTTATATCCCTAGAGAACCAATTCGAGCCTAATACTAACATGTGTCAGAATATGATTGCTCTCTGGTGTTTGGGGGCTTACCAATTGGGACTCAGGACGCTCTCCTCGGGCTCAATAAGTGAAAAGCGCAGAATTGGGCGACGAAGCTGCAGAAACCCGCATAATGTCGGATTTGGTTAATGTAAGAGTCTCCTCAAAATGCCCACTGAACCAACACTGCAGATCGCATAAGGTCACAACAGTCACCAATCAGCTACCATGCTTCAGGCCAACAACTCGTCAGGGTCCCTGGACGAGCCTATCAAACTTATCATACAAAGCAAGATGCTGTCATAGCACATATTGTTCCCTGATATTTTAGCCTAATCAACCCATTTATTACACAAGCAGCCCGATAGCCCTCAATTCTGCATATGCTTGGAAGTGTGTGCCCTCCGATGCCTGCGAATTAACCTACTCAAATGAGAATTAATGTAGACTTATTCGCTGATTAATCTGACGGGTATTCTTTAGCTTATTCAAAGCCTACCAAGCCGCACGGGAGACATTTCATGTTTGCCATGCATGCGAACCATCAACCATGGTTCGCACGGGTATGAGAGAAACCAGCTGCAAGACATAACTATCGCGTTCTCTTCCAAGTTAAATATAGTCTCCCATAATCTGAAAAGCAGAAGGGACACCACACACATTTGTGTATCAGGGCTTTTGACAAGGCTGCAGCGCAGAACCTCATTGGGTGGCACAATTGTGTTGTTGCACAGGTGTGCTGATGGGGCATAATCCTACCTCAAGAAAAGTGAGCTAATGATGTGATCATCCCACGTTGAAACATTTGTTTTTGAAGAAATCAAGCGATTAAATGAACACTTGTGCTCTTCTTCGCTATAAAGATTCGTCGTGCCTTGGGGATTCAGGAAATACCAACAAACAAGCTTCTCGACAATCCTAGAATTCCATTTTAAAAAAAACTCCAACTTTTTCCACCACCAAATGATTTCACAGTATGAAGCTACTTCATATTACCTCTGGCAAAGTGGTTGTGTGGCCCCGCCTGGAGCCGCCCCCTTATGCCATCTTCCCTTACCCCTACGCACGGAACCAAGAGACTGGGGAAAGCCAAAGACCATCAAGATGGGCAACAGACACTAGTTGCGGTAAAAAGCTTCCCATTTCAGACGTGATCATCGGTGCTTGTAAGAAAGCACTTGCCAGGCACATTCACTACTTGTGGGTGAAGAGTCTCTGTGTTGATACTACTTCACTGATGGATGTGGAAATCGCTGCCGACAACTCCTTTGGTAGACTACGAGACTCAGCCTTGTGCATAATTTTCCTAGAAGATCTCCCCGCTCATACTTCCTCTCCCGACGAGAAGGCTTGGTCAACGTGCAGGTACTGGGCTCGAGCTTCGGCTCCTCAAGAGCTCGTGGTCGCACCGCACGTCGAGTTCTACGACCAGAAATGGAACTACGTTTGTTCCAAATCATCGACAGAATACCTCGACATATTATCAAAGGTCTCAAAGATTCCTGCGGGCGTCTTGGCCCAAAGTGACAAACTATTCAACACCTCTAATAGAAGAGGAAGCTTCCCGGTGGGTGACCCAACAACCAGCCACTCGCAACAACCCATGGCTCGGTTGACACAAGTTCATCCACCCCAACATACGTTTTCTCCTAGGTTGGCATGCCATTCTGAAATGAGTCTGCCGAGGTATCCTAGACCGCCGATGCAAGCCTGTTCTCAGCCTCATCCAAGCAGAACATTTCCCACAGAGGCTTTGGCAGGGACCAAGAGAGACAGGTCCGGTCAGCCGCTCAATGTACATTTGGGATGTGGTTTGAGAGCCTTTTCCTTCAATCTTGATTCAAGTCGTCATGATGGATACGACGACTCATCAACATGCGACGAAAGCGAATCGAATAGCGACTCATCGGAGAGTGGGAGTGACTCAGAATCGGAAATAAGCAGCGACGAGGAGTTTGGGCCTGATGACGCCAATTCCAAGGAAATTCACCAAACAGTAAACGAACAATTTCGAGTCATGGAGACTGAGCTTATTGACTTCTCCTACGAAAAAGTTGAGAAGTGGATGAACTCAGCAAGCTATGTCCCACCACCAGACGACAGGTTGCCGCGTCGAAAACGAGCCAGGATAGGAGACCTCCAACCCCAATCAACATTATACTTCAAAAAGATCGACAAGGATGATCCCAACGTGGTCTCTGTCACACGTGTAGATGGGTACTTCCACTTCGCCTGCCCCTACTACCTATCAGATCCGACAAAACATCAGAAATGTCTGCGAAAGCATGATCTCCAGTCCGTTGAAGATATCATCCAGCACATGGGCCAGTGCCACAGAGAGCCGCCTTATTGTCCCCGCTGCTGCCGGCCATTTGACGGGGCAAGAGAGCGCGATAGACATTTCCTCGAGGGTGTGTGTGAGACCAGCACCTCGCGTGACGTGGAAGGTATCACGGAACGTCAAAAAGTGAAAATTGAGAGAATGGAGAAGCCTCACAACCTATACATGGGAGAAAGAAAGCGATGGCTGAAAGTACGAGAGATCGCTTTTCCGAATACTCCACTCGACAGCTCTAAAACGCCCTATCTCGAGAGCAGTCAAGAAGTTCGAGTGGGCATGGCACGAGACTACTGGGCACGCAACGCCACAGATGTTGTCCAGGAATTCTTAAGCAAGAATGCACAGGCTCAGCGGCAAACATCACAAGATGGAACAGCTTTGAGAATAATCGAAGGATTGGTACTGGAAGGGATCATCGATCGGATAATGTCTGATCAAGAAGTGGTTGTGGGGAATTGAGGGACAATCTTGAACTAGAACCTTTAATCTGTACAACATCTAAATGTAGAAATGCAAAGAAAACTTTACAAAATAAAAGTTAGTTAATTTAGACTTAAAGGAATAATTCGCAATCAACTCAATAAAAAAAAGCCAATCAACCCAATCAAGAAAATGCTCCTACATCCTACAACAAGACTAAGACTCAAAAGTCCATGGCACTTCAAGACGTTCCAAAGGATAAGTTCCTGCTCTCCTGAGGACTGTTCTCTTTCTGATGTTTGCTTCCCTCTTCTTTCAACGGAAAATTAGTCTATTAAATAAAGCCAAACACCTCAAAGGACACTGCTGCGCTTCTTCTTTTTCTCTCTTTTTCGATTTTTTTTGTTCTTTCCCCTTCTTTCGTGGGGTCATTCCTGCTCATCAAGCGAGAGAGCGTGTTCCGTCCGGTTTTAGGCTCCAGAGGCTCCGTGAGACGAGTCTTGGCCAATGTCAATTCCTCTCATTAGCCTTCCTCCTCATCAAAGCCATCAAAGTCTGAGTCATTGTGATTTTGTAGATATAGGAATCCCGCCTCTTGACCATGCACACCTGGGTCATGAGGCTCCAGGTGAGGGATGCCGGGCTGGCTTGCCCCAAACGGAGTCGCTACCTGAGGGTATGCTTCCTGACCCATTTGCGGCTGGACCATATTCAAACTGGCGTCATTGGGTAGGTATCCCAGAAAACTGTAGTCTTGCTCAATACGCGCGAAGCGTATCTGAGGCTGGGGCATGCTCATCGCATTATTTACATGATAAGCCAGCTCCCTTGCGTCTTCTGCGTAAGGAGATTCCGGTCTTACCCAGCCAGGGAAAACATTATCCCAAATGCGGAACCATTTAGCTTCATCATTTGTCAAACCAGACGGTGCTCGGAGAAAAGGGTCCAAGTACGCGACATCCTGTTGGCGGAGATGCTCAGGCCCGAGGATTTGAACACAATCCCCGCGGGATCGATGTTCTGCCAGCTGAGAGCTTGATTCGAAATCAGCAAAACATAGAAGACAGTAGGCGTTCAGCGATAGCACGTGAGTTCGTCGTATATGTTGCCAAACGTCCGGAATCCTGCTGAGCGTGACAGTGGCGCAGGAGTGGTATCTCTCTCGATCGTATTTGTGAAAAGGGCATGCCCAACTTCTTCTGCTGGGGCCGTCAGGCGGAAGGTTGAACCTAGACCTTCCCCATTTGCGTGGGTGTTTCCCGCCGCCGCCTCCGCCTCCTTTTCCACTGCGGTCTGATGGTTTCCGTCCCCCGCTGCCTTTGTTCGTGCGCCCACCGGTACCGGACTTGTTTTTTCGAACGCCGCTGGAAACGGCCCCGGACCCGGCAGTGGGGCGCGATCTCGTTGATCCTCCAAACTGCTGTATGATTGCTCCTGAAACCCAATAATCAACCCTGTCCGAGAAAGACTGGACAATCAAGATAATCCATGTCGGGTTCTTGGCGGACTCGAGAACACAGAAGAGAAGCGGCCAGGTCTTGAGACTCGACGATGACTTGGGAGTGACATCCCGGACCTTTCCCCCATGCACCTTCTTCCAGGATACCCTTTCTAAGAAGTACTGGAACATGTAACAAGGGAAAACGATCCGGTCACAGAGTTGAGATCGTATCTGCCAGATCTTTCGAAGGCAGAACATGATAGTAGCTACCAAAAACGCAAGTAGCTGAAAGAGCGAGAGAGTGACATCCACCAGCCCGTAAGGGCTCGGTGTGAATAGGGAGGCAAACAATGGGGAGGAAATAGCCACCAGCATTGTGAAACGGTGATCTAAGCCTATGGGCTTGCTTATATCAGATCAAGTGAAAGGGAGAGTGTAATGATGGTCGCACGGGGCTCGGTGCTCGGGGTTCTAGAGCTTTTTTTAAAGGGTCGACTCAAAAGCCGATCAGTCGGAAGTATCACCACATAAGTGAACACTCTTGCATAATATATATCCAATACCAGGGGCTCCCATGCAGATCTATATGCCACTTCATGATCAGTTACTTGGGCAGTGCAAGCCAGCAAGCCACACAGCCCGCCGCCAGACAAATACGCCTCGAGATCAGTCTTGCTGCCCGTACTGAACCCGACTGGGTTGGGGAAGTCCAGCCATGTGGAAAGGTTACATTCAAATACAAGCTAATAAAGCTGCGGCGCCATTTTCAGGCGGCGGCAGATCAAGGCAACGAAATTGCTTGTAAATCGTCATCCAAAGCCGTATGGACTCGTGGCTTAGGCTCAGACCCACGCCTCCAATACTTTCCAACAGTGGCTTGTATTTGTCTCTTATTATTTGATGGGATAAGTCTACGATGGATCTTCAACTACAGCCGGAATTGTTAGAAGAGAGGAGGTGGTTAAGACATGCTCCATGATCGATAGAACTTGATAATGGATCAGTCTTTGCTTGGTTGTTCGCCGTTAGTTCATAGCCTCTACGCTCCTTTCTAACCACTTGTTTTTTCTATACCGATCCTCCGAAACATTAGTAGACTCGTTCATCCCATCGAATAGGCAGGTAAATATCCAGTGGCGGAGCCAGCTTATCGACTCACAAACCCACAGGTACACTTTTGCGTAGATTTAAAACCCTGTTCATATCATGCGGTCAGTTGGTCTCCCTCGGTTGCTGTCAAGTCTCTGCAACAACTAAGGGCCACATTTTGCCAAGTGCTTCTCTAAATTGGTGAGGAATGTTGTCGAGGCCCGACTTTCGGTCAAGTGTCTGGCGCTGCCTGCTCACCGCCAAAGCTCAAATATGCAGAAAGAGATGTTCATATAGTTCTCAGCCTTTCCTTCGGTCATAGGTCCAGTCTCCACTCCAACAAAGGCGACTGCGCTGCCTCACAGCCCCTCACCCCCTTCAGATATTACCGGTGTTCATCATGCGAGTGGCCGCAGCTACTTGACCGGCCGGAATCCCGCATACTAGGTGTCATCATAGCTGAATGATGTCTGGGCTGTGGGCAATAAAGCTCACACTTCGGTTGCATTCTCCCGTTGCCGGTCCACTTACACCGGATGTACCTAAGTAGTTCGCGAACCACCAATTAGGTGCAGTATCAACCCAAGGCAGAAAAGGATTGGGGCAATGCAGAAAAAAAGTCACGGTTGGCAGACAATGAAATGAATGTGTCACGGGTTCCAATTACCGCATAATTCTTTCGTCCCTCGGGATATTGTTGCATGGCTGATGTGAGGGAGGAGGGGTGGCTTACATGCAGGACTCGATGCCAACTCGACCATCTAGGTGGCAGACTTAGCCCAAAGAAACAATGAAAATTAAGGAAGAAGAGATACGAGTCATTACCAGAGCGATACGCTTCGCCAAGAGCTCGCTTCACTTTTCTGTGTCTGGGACATGGCGCCATACCATGCGCCTCACAATTGTGCAGCATTTGCTCTAGCCTCACCCACCCACCACCCAAATGTGTCGATGTCACGATGCCATTCAATCACAGCCCCGGGACTGCCGCTCTAGTTCCACGCTGTGTGTTCTTCACGCCACTCCTGTTTCCATAATATGCCTCGGGAGGGCTTTAAGAAGCGGTGAAAAGTGCACATTTGATCTGAGCCCTAAGGCATTCAGGCTCTTCCGATCAACGGAAGCTTACCGAACCGTTTCCAACACGCTATACATATCACTAAAATACGCATGTTACCGAATGTTTTCCATTCCTTCTTGCCTCAGTCCACCACAGCCGTGTTTTAATAACATTGTTTGATTGGCAATCTCACGACACGTCATGCGAAAAGAGCTTACATCTCAGGGGACGACGAAAACTCCCAATTCGTCACTTGGGCACCGACTCAATCCCAAGAAGCTGAAGCCCTACGATCCCTCAATTGAAAAGTCCTACCCCCGGCCATCGGTCTCGCATAAGCGAACCTCTTACTTAGCGGATGTGCTGAACGACCCTGACAGGAGAGGTCGTGCTCTTGGCGGGCATCCATCCCCACGGACAGATGAACATGAAGTCCGTGCTTTCGCATGTCCATTCTATAGGAGGCATCCAACTTTCCACATGGACTGCATGAACCGCAAGTTGACGCGGATCCGGGACGTCAAGCAGCATATTCACCGGAGACACTCCCGGTCTGCTTGCGCCGCGGGCGATTCAGACGCCATTTCTGCGGAAACGGGAAGAGAACTTCGGCGGCATAGAGCTGGCCGGACAGAGACACCCGTCGCAGAATGGAGGAACATTTGGAGGATCGTGTTTAAGGATGAGCCACAGTCTCGCGACCCCTTACTCGGGACAATGGTAGAGGAAACTGTCCAGATGATAAAAGAGTTCTGGAAGAACGAAGGCAACCAAATCACGGAGCAGTTTCTGAAGGAGAAGGGAGTGGCGCCTGACGATACGGTTCAGAACAACATGAGCGAGTTGTTTGAGGTCGCACATGAAAGGTTTGAGCAAAGCACGCTTGGGGCGAGGTCGGTTGACTCTTCGCTGGTTGATATGAGCAACCTCATTGAATGCCCCAGCCTGTCTGACTCTGTGTCATCGTTGAATGACTTCAGCGAAACCCATGCTTTGGAGGCGTCAGGGCTCTCGGATATTTCCAATGCCGGGGATCAGGGTAGCTGGGTGTCCATCAGTGAACCAGGACCTCTTCAGAACTTATATCAAGAAGCAGAGTCCGGCTGGTCTCTCGTCAACGGGGTTGGGGGATTAGGCTGCGCCAGTAACGGAATTTTCCAACCTGGTTTCGATTATTCTCCTTTTTATTTTGAAACTCAGTTTACGAATTGAATTAGCAGTTGCTACTGGTTTCTATAGATGAAGCGTGCCTAGGGTAGCCAATGCCAACGTAGGAGGTGAGGACGCAGATGGAAGAGGACAGCGTACATACTTGTGGGATACCACTACCCACACCACAGCGTATCAGCCAGGTTTGAGATGCGTACAGCAGGGAAATGTATTGGCCAATGCCAGGATTTTCAAATGGTGTACGGATAGTGGTTCCACATTCCGATCGCCGAGAACGAGCCCAGACCTGCTGTGTCACCAGTTCGTGTGGGCTTACCTAACGAGGGGTAGACAGTCGACACAGCGTGTGGTGGTGCCAGATTGGATGTCTCGTTGTGAACCGTTGCATCGTGCCGTGCCTACCACCTTACCTGGTCAATTCCAAGTGCCGGTGATCCCATTCTTGGCTGAAACCGAGACACAGGGATGGTGGTGCAGTGGACCGTTTCCCAGACCATCATCCGCGTAAGGGCCTACGTACTATCTTTTTGAGCCCTGTGCTTCCCGAGACTCCCTGAAAGCTTGGCGTGCGTGCCAATTGGCGCTAATCGGCACAGCTATCGATACAGCTATCGAATAGGGATCCGATAGATTGAATGACGACGACAGCTTCAACCCTTTTTTCGTCAACCACAGTAGCCTCTTTTTTTTTTCCTTTTTCCGTTTTTGGTCTTTCTTTTAGCTACTCAGACATTAATCCCCCGACAGCTACGCTCCTGCCCAAATCCTGCCTGGGCAGGCAAACCCACCGACCATGGCGACCTGGCGCTCACGGCAGCGCACCAACCTGATTGCCCTGTTCTGCGTCGTCCTCTTTGTCTGGGTCTTCTACGGCGAGACCATCTTCCCTCCCGAGAATAACCATCCCAATCTCAAGACCGCATCGCGCCCCGAAGCACACCCAGAAGCACGCCCAGAAACTCCAGCACAGCCCGAAACGCCTTCACGCCCCAAAGCCGAGTCGAACCCAAAAAAATCGACCGAAAATGACGTCGAAATGGTCGTCGCCAGTATGAAGAAGGAGAACACGACCTGGCTGTACGATTATCTCCTGGATTGGAAAAAGAACATCTACGTCGTCGACGATCCCACCGCCGCTCTGACTGTGCCCGTGAATAAGGGGAGAGAGGCCATGGTGTTCCTTACGTATGTTCTCATCGCCCCTGGACGATCAACCCACCCACACCAAGACACTAACTAACCGTTATCTTCACCCGCCAGATACATCATTGATCGATACGACTCGTTACCTGGGAACATTATCTTCCACCACGCCGAGCGGTTCCAATGGCACAACGATAACGTCGACTACGATGCCCTCCCTCTCCTCCAGCGCCTGCGCTTCGACTATCTCAAGGAGCAAGGGTATGCCAACCTGCGATGCGTGTGGGTCCTTGGTTGCCCGGTAGAGATCCATCCCATCAAGGACGACGTACCGGGGAAGAAAGGAGAGCCCGTCCATGCGAAGCGAGCGTACAAGAAGGCATATGAGGAGCTCTTCCCCGAGTTCCCTGTTCCAGAGGCCATTGGTGTCACGTGCTGCTCCCAATTCGCCGTGCGGCGTGAGACGATATGGAAGCGACCCAAGGCCGACTATGAGCGATATCGAGACTGGCTCGTTACGTCGCCGCTTGGGGATGATATCAGCGGTCGCGTGCTCGAATACTCCTGGCACAGTACGTGAACACACCCCTTCTCTATCTGCCCCCAAAGACTCTCTTCTACCTCCTTTCCATCATGCTCTCTTCTCTTATCTCAAGTTGCTAACTTGAAATTGCAGTGATTTTTGGCAAAAAGGCAGTTCATTGCCCCGCCGCCGGTCAGTGTTACTGCCGCTTGTATGGTCTTTGCGACCTGGACTGCGAGCAGGACGAGTGCGAGGGCCAGTACTACCTCCCACCTTTCTCGACTCTGCCGCGAGGCTGGCCGATGATTGGCTGGAACAAGGAAGACAGGAATTGGCACGGGCCTCCCTAAGAGGTGAACAGACGATGTCTTGGACGATTTCTTCTTATCGTCGCAGAATCTGGATGACACTCACATACAACGGATATACACTTGGTGGAAAATCAGCGCAGAAAATGCGCGACGGCTAACTGGGACCTCTATTTCAAGGCGTTATGGGACATATGGGACATTTAGAACAGGATATTTAAATTAGATTGATTTAATAATACAGCTATGGGAATCTGGGTCAAGTTGAATACAAGAGGCTTTCAGTCCTCAAGATTTCGCCAAGTGCGGGTGTAACACATTGAGCCATCCCAGTGGGCCACGAACTGCACAGTATGGGTTATACACATCTGCTGTATGGTGCCTTGTGTGACAATCGTCTCAATCGACTTCTTCTCTGTGTTTCAAGAAGAGATCCTAAATTTTTTTATGTTGCCAAGCTGCGACTTGCCTCAGCTCTGCCCCGCCCCCGCGCTCAGTGCTCAATGCACGCCAAGACAAAGCTTCAGACAGCCGAAGGAGCCCGCCCTGGCCAAATCGCCAAACTTGGAGAGGCGTAAGTAACGGTCAAATCTTCAACCTCTTCTAACCATCCGCGCACACGCGTACCACTTTCAAAATGGATCGGTCACAGCCCGCGTCTTCCAATCTCATGGGTATGTGTACTCTGATCGAGCCCGCTTTCTTCCCCCGTCGCTGGTGCTCCAAGAAAAATCGTGGCATTCCAAGCTAACCTCAACAGACATCCATGAGCGTCTAGTGGCTGATATCCTCACCCGCTACAGAACCCTCATGATGCTCGCCACCATTCAATCCGAAGGTGAGCGCATCAATGAGAAGCCAGAGGCCATGGCCATCACTGGCATTTCCATGAAGATGGAATTCGACGGACTGGTAATATCCACCCCCCTCCCACTCCCACTCCCTTTCCATACCTAAACCTATCCCTTTCATCAACCTCTTGTGAGTATTCTAGCTTACGAAATCCAGTACTCGTCAGTAAAGGAGCTCCTCGCCCTGTCGCGCAAGATGAAGGAGCTCTGGGTCTTCGGTGCCCTCGGCAAAGACCCAGGGCACGAGGCCAAGGATGAGCAGATCGAGAGCGACGTCGCCAAGGTCGCTGCCCTCCTAGGTGAGGTAGAGGCCTCGGGCATGAAGGGCCTGGCGGAGAAGTACGGCGGCACGTGGGAGCCGCTCACCGACGAGCCCGTGCCCGGCGCTCCTCCCGCGGCGGCCAATGCCCCGGCACCTGGTGCGGCGCCTGCTCCTACGACTGATACTCCCGGGCAGGTAAAAGCTTGAGAAAGTATATCTTCCATGGCATTTAAGGCGTTTCGGGGGTTCCTTGTTCGGCCGGTTTCACGGCCTGGTAGAGGATGTGTTTTTGTTTAAGAAGTATTCAGATAGATACCCGTTCAATCATCTAGTTTGACAAAACACAGTTTTACTTCGCGAGCAGGTGCAACAAGTCAACCGGTCAAATTTTAGGGGTATTATACAGTCTATCTAGCCCTCGCCTCCCTCGACATCTTCTTCATCCTCGTCACCAAGCTGCTTATCAGCTAAGGCCTGGCCTTGGCCTTCGATCTTGGCGACAGCCATACCTCCTGCTGTTACCCACAGGAAGTGATTTTGTTTGAACTGGTCGACCTGGTTGAAAAAGGAGTGGAACCTAAAGATTGATTTTCGTTAGCCTTGTCTCATAACAGCCAAGAAGCAAGAGCAACTTACGCGTTTTCCTTCTCTTCCACGTCGAAGATACGGTTGTAGATGTGTTTCCGCTTGAACGCCTCCAGTCTTTCTTCATACTTTCCAAAGTCAAGAGTTTCCTTGCCGAGAGAATCTTTGGCTTTCCTGTTATACATGTCAAAGACTGGGCGCTCGAGGAGCAGGCCCAGGCCCGGGACCTTGGGAATAGCCATCTTCTGCTCCAGGTAACTCTCTCGGACTCGGTCCAAGGGGGTTCCACATCGCACCATCAGAACTGCAAGACTGACCATCTTGCGGATCTGGTGCATCATGAAGCTCTGGCCGTGTACTTTTAGAGACAACCATTCTGTGTCGCCGATGATGATGGGTTCCGGATTGACAACAAATGACTTGATATGGCGCTTCGCGGAGGGATCCTTGAAAGCTTTCTGAACAGTGAAGTTGTGGAAGTTGTGAGTTCCTTCGTACTTAGTCAGGATCTCCTGGAGGCGCTGCAGGCGCTCCGGGGAAACACGGTATTTTCGCTTGGCAGAAACATAGGCCATCTTGATATCGCGAAGAGCATAGTCTAGAGGGCCAAGCTCGCGCTTCTTGGGCTTGAGGCTTCCCTCGGGTACCTCGGCTCCCTCGCTGGGTGCAGCGGTAGTCTGTTCCTCAGAGGCTGCCTTGTCTGTCCCCTCTGTTGCCGCAGCATCGTTCTCCGTAGATTCTGGCTTAGACTCGCCCTTCTCGTTCACCAAGTCAAAATCCTCAGAGCTGATTCGCTCAAGCGCTTTGGCCCTGATTTCAGGGTCAAGTCGTTCCAGTACAGGCTTGACACCATTCTCCTCGACATCAGACCAGAAATCCTTCACGTCGGCAAACTTCTCTGCAAGCTCGGCCTCAACATTGTGGAGCTTGGCGTATTCTTGCACGCTCTGGCCTAGGAAAGATCTTGGGTTTGGTGGCAGAAGCGTGTAGCTAGGCATCAGGTACTCGTACCATCTAGAGTCGCATTCGTGGTAACAGTTGAAGCTGTTGTTGGTCCTCTGAATGCCCCAGATGCGAATCTGCTCAGGAAGGGCATCATTGATCTTGTCCACGATATCCTCGTCCTCGATGATGAGCTTCAAGCTGATAATGTTGCCAGCGGCGTGGACTCCCTTGTCGGTTCGGGCGCATCGTATAAGACTCGACTTTCTGTGGTCGTCGGCGTTGGCTTTGGAAATCGCGCCCGCGGCAATGAAGGCTCGGAAAAGGTCTCTTTCGATCGTGGGCTCGTCGCCGTTGATTTGCATGCCTCTGTAGCCAGTGCCCGAGTATCCAACCATGACAGCAACCTTGCGCTTCGGGCGCTTCTGTTCCGCCTCGATCTCTTCCTTGGAGAATGGGTTCTTGCTGGCGCCATCCTCGCCGCCGTTGACCTTGCGACGCTTAAAGTCACGCCAATCGCCGCTTCCGCCTTCTCGCTTGTTGTTCTCCTTCATGCGCCTAGAATCTGGTAAGTCGCGTTGGCAAAGAAGCTTATAAGCGAGGGCCGGTGAATTGAGGGGCGGGCAAAGCAAAAGAAAGAGAGGAGGTTGTGCGAATTGACCCATGTACAAAAGAACATAGGCATCGGACAAGCAACTTACTCGAAATCTGCGCGCCCAGTCTGCTTGCCGCCTTTGCCTCGCTTGCGGCCACTTTGCCTAGGATTCTTGAAAGCTCTGCTCGAGGAACCAGGAGTTGAGTCGTCCTTCGAGCCGCCGCTGGGCGCACCCATGCTTGGAGTGCTGGAGGCAGAAGGTGCGTTAGAGTCTGCCATATTTTCATCGCACAAAGAGTTGGAGACGAGGCGATTGCTGCCGGCGGAATTCAATATGGGAAAACTTCAATGCAACTCAAGGTTTTTGATGCGATATGATACGCAGGAAACTAACACAAAGTGGGGCTCGGCTCGATCCGTCCCCAACCAATTAGCTACCTACCCTAAACGGCCACCTGCCTTTCTGATTGAAACTCATCAGTACGACTAGATTTCCTTTCATGTTATTCCTAAAATACAAATTTGCACCTGGCCACTTCGTTTCCCCTGGATGTCTTCTATTTCCGTTTTAACTTGAAGAAATCGGTCCGAGATCTTAGTCAATCTCACTTCAGTCCCATCCAGATCTTTGCTTTCTAACCACAGCTCCCCCAATCATCAGCGACTTCGGCTCTCGCTGGCTCTCCGTCAAGTCTCGTACGTCGACAAGATGCCGAGCAGCGATATCGCAGTGCCCCGTCAGGCCCCATGTAGGATGCCTGAGATATCAAACACCCTTCAAAGCGACGGGTCGAAACGTCGATGAGCGTAGCATCTTTAGCATGGCCATCGTCGTTGAAGAAGACGATGTCGCAAGGAGGTTGTGTTTCCGAAACACCTGCTTTTGGTGTTGCATCATACTTCCTGCAGCTCGCGGTATGTGTGCTGCGGATGAGCGTCGTTGGCGTGACTGAGATCAAAGGCGTCGGAGAAAATGCCATCATATGGTCTGCGCGAGTGGTTGCAGACACTGTTTGAGTTGTTGTCGTGTTACTCCTTCACGCGATGTCAGTTTGCAAGTCACTGTCGTGCAGCTACTTCATGTGAACAGAACACCTACTGGTCATTGGACTCTTGGTCATTCCTCTTCGTTATGACTATCTTGCCGATAACACCGGCTATGATGAGAGCAATGATGACCACGATCAAGAAGGAGCCGGCGAGTCGGAGATATGCTGTCTTCCTGGCTTTAGCCTTCGCCGTTTCGAGTTCTTTCGTGCCCTCGTGATACAAAGGCGGAGATCGCCCAGCTCCGTAAGCTGGAGGGCGATACCGCGGACTCTCGTTGCGACTGAAATTTGGTGTTCGGTAAATTTCATGCGTTGACTCGTGGCTGCTGGGGTAATGCTGTGGCGGTCCTTGGGGGTTGTTCATAATGATTTGGGCAACTCTCGAGCAACAATATCACCTCGTCCACCCAGCGAACAACAACGTTGAGCAGTTTATTGCAGTGAGGAGAGGAGAAGGAAGACCCAGAGCAAAAATGCTGAGGAGGCGCAACCAACGTGTCCGTGGCGAGCCCTAGGCACCATACTGGCTGCCATCCTTAGGTATGGACGACGTCGCTGGGTAAGACATCTTGGTCCCCAGCCGGCTGATAGACTTTGGGGCTCGCTGGCTCACGCCTGGGCAATTACTGGGGGCTTTCAGCTGCCTGGACAGCATTTGATTTACTGATAGGCCTGGTTCCGTCATATGATGCCGATCTAGCATTCCCGCCTGGTGGTGGTTTTGTATCACATCGACTTATCATTTCGAAAAAGAACATTTTGTTAACGACGGTGTTCGTCGGACATTGAATAGATCCACATATTTGTCTCAGCTATGCGTCACCTCGTGACTGAAGAGGTAAATCGAAGTGTTGTATGATTTATTGATTACCAGTAACTCTGCTGCATAGTCTCACAAACACCGATCTGGACGTTCGCCCGCTATACCCTTAGTTTGACACAAGTGTCCAGCTTCCCGCTCCAACCTGGTTCTAATTGGCTGAGCTTGTGCCGTCAGTGGAAGGCAGACCCTCCTCGTCTCCTGGCTCGGCGTATGTGCCACTTGGCTTCCCGGCATTTCTGGTTCGGCCACCCTTCAGAATGTTGTCTTTGTCAATGGCTTCGGCATCGTCCCGTGCTAGGAGAAAGGGTTTACGGGTCAGTTATATATATACCAGGTGGCAAAGTCGGGGCAGTGGCTTGTTTGATTTGGGAACTTACCAAGCTGCTCGTCGGTGTCTGCAACATCACCGTCAATGGGATCCTCCACGGGATCAGAGTCGGCTTGAACAGCGATGTTTTCGCCCTTAGTTCCTGGGCGAGAGACGTAAGAGTCGTCTTGAAATTCGCCGGAAGGGGCATCCTGAAGGTTCTCGGACGACATTGTTGTGGTTTGTTGAAATTTATCACTTCGATAATACAGATCACTCAGGTGCTGGACTCGAAAAGAAGCTCGTGGATGTGGTAGGAATAATTCTCTCTTAATGGCAGAAGTCACAACAGGCTTTATATTTTTCAACAAGCTCTGGGAAACCCCAAATCCATCCTCTATCTCGACTGTTGGCTATCTTCATGGCATCTATGACGGTATCGAATCATCCAGTGATGAATCATTCACTCATGGTCCCAGACAATTCAATCAGCTAAGATGCTCTCAAGCGCAAAAGCAGATAAAGGAAGAAGAGAACCCCCGATCTCCGTGTCATTACTGGGACGAACCGATCTAATGCAATCACGCAGCAAATAATTATGCAAAATAGCCGGATCATTGAGAGGAGGGACCGAGGCGCTTGGTGGATCGCATCAAACCACCATGTAGCATGCAGAGGATTCAAAAATTCTCTGAGTTCGAACCGCATTCTTTCACTCACATGTTGGGAATATTGGGGTTTCTCAAGGAGGCAGACGAGGAAGCCGAGAAATTGCACAATTCTCCATCAGGAGAGGACTTCCTTGCACCTGGGGCTTGGTGGCGGCTGTCATTCACATAGGCGAAGGCTACGGATCAGCGGTGACGGTGGCTGACTAGCAGATAGACTCATGTTCGTCATCGACAC